GATCAAAGCCCAGCCTTCTTGCATGCTAGGTAAGCACTCTACTAATATGCTGTATACTTCCAGACCTCACAAAATTTTCAAGAACAAAAATTAAAGAGGTAATCCTTTGGGAAAGGTAAACATTAGGTACCAAACAAGTTTCACCTCACATAGTAAAACAATTTTAACCACTGAAAAGAAAATCAAGTCCAAGATTTTTCTCACAGAGGTTAAGATTTGAGTTCAAACCCCAGTCCCACACACAAAAAAATTAAGATTTCTAAGGATACTTACTTCAAGTCAATGAGCACTCCAGTGTCAGCCAACATCAATCATTCTTACCTAAAGAATAATAAGAGAAAGTTAATATAAAAAGATAAAGTTACAGAAAGGCTTGAAAATGCTAGTTAACCTCAAAATTTAAAGAGTAAAATTCCAGAGACAAAGATTGGGATGTTATAGCATAAAAAAATAGGAAGAACTTCACGGGGAAAAAAAAATCTAAAATTATTCTTTATGTAAATAATGACACTAGAATTAGAAGGAAAACTGTAACTTCTTTAAAATGCAAAAGCCTAACTCCTATTTTCACCAGTCTGAGCACAAGGAAGTTTGACTGCAATCCAAAATATACTATCCCTTATGTGAAGGTATGTGACAACCTTTACCTTACCAGGTGGTTTTATCAGCTCTTTTCATATGAAATCACATACCCTGCCCCCTAATTCAAGTATACCTTCCATTCTCAAGTGGGCTAACCACCTTCAGTATGAGTCCAAGAGTGCTTTACCCCCTTCGTACAGCACACAACACTGCAGTTCTTTATCTGCAATCCTACATATTTGCCTCACTCTTTCCCCTCGTCTCAGTGAGTTTTAAGTTAGGGTAGGGAAGCTATGCCTTACTGGGACAGCAAGGAACCCAACTTTTTCTAAGGGAAAAGACATTCACCTTCAATATATACCTGGCACAGTGCACAACAAACAGAAAGCTCAGCCTTAATCAAGTTCCAGGTTTTTCTTTCTCCCTGTATCACTACTGAGACGGGTATATGAAATAGAATTCCCTGTTGCACATGTACCATCCATAAGGGATACTATATTGTTTTGCATTCTTCCCCCATTCTCCAGATTATCCTTGTCCTATTCTATGTCAAGCCCCCTTTTTCACCATTGAAAAACAAAAACAACAACAAAAAAAACCCCTTTTCAGCACTGGTGTTCAAAAGCAGCATTTTTTATGGTTGATGGTTACCAGCAACTGTGAGATTCCCACAGCTGAGTCTTAAAAATTGCCAATCATTATCTAGCAGCAATGACAGATGATTAGAAGCAGTCAAATACTCTTAAGTCTTTCTCTAATAGGCAGCCCTTTGAGAACTGCACTAGCTGATAGCCCTGAAACATTATCAGCTAAAGCCAAAACCAAGTAAAGGCCCAGAACAAACACCCCAGCTCTCTAAAACCTGTCCAAAATTATTAAGGGAAAGGCTGTGAATGCAGGACTGTGGATCATGTCACTGCAGCTAACAATGATTAACAATAGGAGACATGCAACCCCCATTAAGGTTAAAAGTCCAAAACTAGTCACACGCATCTCTTTATTAGGGAAAGTGAGACTATTATGCATTCTTATAGGTTTGCAACCTTTTGTGAAGAGTACCCATTGCATTTCTTTCATCTTTCAGAAAGCACCAGTATCTGTTCCAAGGGCCTAACAGTACGAAAACACATTCTGGCATCACACCTCTGAACTCAAGATTGTTCTCGTTGAAAATAATAATTTTAGTTAACAATAAAAGATTATGAAATACAATGCAAGCACCTCAGTATATAGCATCATTACTGAACCCGGCTTAATTCCCAGCTTTTTGATTGAGTGGTTTTTAACAAACCCACTGTACTAAGATTCACAATTTACAGCTGCATACAAATTAAAACTAGTAAGAATCAACTTAAGTCAATGGTTTTTTTGTTCTGAAGTGCAAAAGCCTAATCTTGAAGCAGAGCAAAAGCAAAATAAGCCTCCCCACCCCAATGATGTTTATGTCCATATATTATACCAAGTACATTCTCTTGAGAATTGTTACTGACTAGTATGCAATAGGCCTGAATTTTTTTCTCAATACTCAAATCACTAAGCCACGGTAGCAAGCATTGGCCACCGATTTAATGGATTATGACACAGGATACCCCCCCCCATCAGGGTTCTATGCAGGTTAGTGATACGTCACTAAGCTGAGCATTATTTGATCTGCATTGTATTTATGGAAGAGCTAAACTAGTCACCATTTGCTTCTTCATCTTTCAGAAGAGTCAAAAGTTGCTTGCTTGAATGGACTACATATTAAGAGTACAAATGTGTCCCCACCCTGTGACTTGCTTGCCAAAGAGCAAGCCATTTTTCTTGATACAATCAAAGAAATTCTGATAGTCATGAAGAGTTTTCACCAGCATTTATGCAAAATAAACCAAACTTTCCAATTACAGAGCAGAAAGCGTTATAAATGAAAGCTGTTTCTCATGCATGCTAGCTAAAAACCAGTTCAGAGATCAAAGTTAAATTGAATTGAGGTATGGAACAACAGTCGATGCAAAGGCTAAAAGTCCTAAGCAACAAAACAAAGTGCTTTTAAAGACTAATGTCTTTTTCTAATTAAACTTTTGGACTGTAATATCATATCCCTGAAGCTAAGGGAACAAGGTCCAAAAAGCTACTCTGAACAAATGCAGTCATTCTACAGAATACGACGAAGTCTTATGATTGGGAAAGGCTCCCAACATGTATTGAACTGTAGGCAAGTCCATGTTTCACACCACTCTCCCCCCAAGTTTATACATATTTAGACCATTCACATAACTTGAACTACTCACATTAGATTCCCATCTAAGCCCAAGTTAGTAACATAAGGTGTTCCCATGAAGCCCATGTTTGAAAAAAATTTCCAATCATATTACAAAAAACCAAAAATCCTGTTTTCTCTTAATTCACTCAAGCTGAAGAATTACCAAGATTGCATAATGAATTAGACACTGCTTACCTATGGGCAGCTCAGTTTGCAACAATTGAGACTATATCACATACTATGCAGTCCATATCAAGGTGCTAAAAGCACCCTGGTTTCCCAGTAGTTTGGTTCCCTCTCCCCCCACACCATGTTATCTTCAGTTATAATGCAACTAAAGAAAACCACACAACTGAGTCAAGATGTACAGAAGAATCAAGTGTGCACTTTTTATCTTGAGCACTGAATTCTGCCTAACAAATTACAGCTTTAACCCCAAACCCACACAGTTTTGATATAAGCTAGCTTTCCATACAGTGTTAGGTGCTGCACTGTAATTTCATTGTCAGAAGTGTGATGTCAGAATGCCCACGGAATAAAAGTACATAGCAAGTCACCAAGTTAGATTATATTGCTTTTACCTACCTGTATGCAGTCGGCAATGAGAATCTTGGAGCAAGCAGGAATACTACATCCGGGTCCTAATGTCCATTGCCATTTGCGGTACTACGTTCCTCACAGTTACGCACTGCAGAAATGCTGGCTAAATGCAGTTATGTAGCAGGCCACTACTTTAATAGTGCATAATTGCAGTCCAAGAACACCACAAAACATTTCGCCACAACTTTGTGGCTTACCCAAGCCAAGTATCTAAATTTTTATCTGCCATAATATGCCACTTACAAAAATTGCACAGGCGTAACATTACACTTTCCCAAATTATTATCTGTTTATATTAGGGGTGTAACACATCTATAGAGTGGTGGGTTTTAAAATACTTATTGGGAGTTTAATTTTCTAGGCAGAAAGGATTATGGTTTCACTAAACAATGTGAGCCAATGGTTTAAGCTTGTAGGATTCCTACTAAATATGCTAGTTCTAAAAACGAGTGTTCCTCTTAAAATTATGTAAGAATGTGAAGAGGAAGAAATAGGGCCAAGTGTTCTTTTTTAAATGAGAAAAATAGCTGAAATACTTCCCTTTCCCACCCTAAGATTCATTATTAACTTTTAGGAAACTACTCAACAAGATGATTTCAATTCACCTTTGGCTAAAAACTATCATATACATTTGAATGTCTTACAACCCTTGGTACACTGCTGTTTCAGTGATGAAAGTCATGTCAGTTGAAACTAAACATTTGCTAAACAACGTTTAGCAATTCTACAGCCCACATAAGGCTATCAAGAGCCACAACTTTCAGCAGATTATCCATTAGCATCCTTCACCATTCTTCAAAGGTACATTACTACCAAAAGCTTATTTTAGGGGTCTGTGCCAGCATCCCTTATAAAGAAAGGCATGTAAATCTGAAAAATAAACTGAAACATTAATTTTATAGGCAGATTTTCCCACTTCCCCTCCAGCCCCCACCCACATACATTCCAGTCCACCCTGTGGGTGTCCCATGAACACCCCTAAACTTCTTATCATTAGAATCCCTACTGTACAATTCAACCAAATTGTAATGGACTCCTTTCAAATCAAGACCCTTGTTTCCATACAGAAAATCTCATTAGGTATCACCAATTAATACTTGTCTTGGGACAAAACTTTCTCACTGATGTAATATGGTAGAAGTACCCATTTACAAGTGTGTTGGTGAATAAAAATGAGTCTATCTTCTAAGGAGATTCTTTCCCTTACTTAGCACACCATATACCTGTCATTCACACCACCAGAATTTGGTGACATGCTTTTACATTCCACTAGTATTTTATTTAAACTACCCTGTTTTCCTATGCAGAAAGTACTCAGTTGTTTCAACAATGTCTCCTTTTGTACTCAGGCACAATACTAATCTTCAGCATGTTAAAGGCTTGTTTTAGAATTTTTCTTTTGCCAATTAGCAACAAGAACAGAGGTGAAAGATGAAGACATTCCATAGTCAAACTGGAATGGAAACATAACTAAGAACAAAGCCAAACCATTCAATTACTTTACCTACTGTTAGGAACTTGTTCCTCTAACGTATTTACACTGGGAAAGAAATCATGCTCCATTGTACTAAACAGACAACAGTAAACATCTAAAATTGAGTCAAAAAGTCTCTTGTTCTAATGCAAGGAGATTCAATGAAGTTGACAAGTAACTGACAACGCCATCGAAACATGCCAAAGCTTTACGGTGGGAGGAAGGGGTATTTGTACTGTGTAGCATGAACCACTCTCTCCAGATTTAGTGCTACGTCAAAAACAAAAGATGTAAAAACAGGTAAGTTTATAAGAATGGTTATTTGCAACCTATTTGCTATTAATGTCACTACTAGCTCTTGAGAACCAATGTATTTTTATAGTCCTACAGATTTGCCCAACAGAAGTAGCACAAGGAGATGTAAGTTACAGAGTACAAATGTAAATAGAGCTATACCTACTTAATTAACTAAACCTTACTTTCAAGTTGAATTTTTCAGACTAAACCCCATCTTTATAAATCACTTCAAGTAATACATGAAAAGGCTTCATGTTTAACAATCTTTAATTCAATTGTAAAAGTCCAGTACAAGCCATTTGTAGGGCTTGGGATTTGTTCTTTTAAAAACAAGAATTGGGGGTATGCAACAAAATGATCTTTCCACTTTTCAAAAAACTTTCAAGGAAAGGATAGATCATAGGGCCATTGAAGATCCATTCTTCCTCCCCCTAGCAATAGTTTACACCCATTGTATTATCTTAATACATATTCCTGAATGAAGATTTACAGTTCAGCTTTGCTTACATTAACCATTTAAAAATACTTAGCACCAGCTTGCTTCCTCCTATAATGCCAAACAAATCGTGAACTACTTCAAGATGCATTTCTTCTTAAAACAGGGGGGCAGTTATTTGTAGAAAGCACTACTTAGCTTCCAGATACATTTCCCAGAAATGGCATATGCCATCCACAGGCCTAGACACTCTCATGCTTTCAAAGTGGAATACCTAGCCTAATGTGCATAGAAGCATGAATGGCAAAGTTGAAGATCAATAGTAGAACTATTTTTCTATTTATTTGAAGCACAGTAAAAAAAAAAATTGGTACACTTTGGAAATTCAGTGGCACAAGGTACACTGCCATTAACTTGAGGAACATTATACAGTTAAAAAAAAAAAGGAAATAAAAAGGGAATTTTTTTTTCCTGTTTTGAACACTCCATTACATAATTTTACCTGCCCAAACAGACCATTTACAAATATCAGGTCAATAAACTGCTAACATCCATAAAAAGGTAGCTTTCTTACTAAAATGCAAGAATTTAAAAGTGGTATCTAAACAAGAAAAGACAAAAACAAACTGGAATGAAAGCCTAGATATCACATCTAAAATCGGGGTTTTTTGTTTGGACCTTCATACTCTTCTCTGCCTCTACCATATCCTGCTGGAGTTCCAGGCCCCATTCCTCTAGGACCCTGTCCACCCACAGGCCCAGCACCTCCCTGCCCAAAGCGCTCAGTACGCTATTGGAACAGTAATTAACAGTTCATTATATGTAGTTGATGTCCATGTGTGTTAAGAAAATATTTTAGAAGGTTCCGTAGTCAACGTTCGTCGATACAATCACCAATGAGTCGATCCACAGGTACCGGGAACATAGAAAGGAAAAAAGGGTAATTTGAAAATTAGTTTACGATAATACATGCCTTGTGGTATGTTCCCACTTGAGCCATTCTCATACACCTGTTTCAAAGAACAGATCTTCCCTGTAGTGCTAAAAAATTTAAGAATTAGTGCAGATGTGAAAATCCATTCCAAAATGAGTTCTAAGAAATTTCACATCAAATTAATCCACTGATACGCTTGCAAAACTCTCCTTGAAGGTCTGAACAGAAAATTTAATCTCCAAGTAAGCCTAAGAAGCCCAACCAGACAGTCAATTCACTCAATGAAGTGACAAAGACCTACTCACCAGTTAGTGGCATGTGCTGCATAAGAAACCTTGTGCTTTTCAAGATCTTAAGACACATCTGCAAAGTTGCAGAAATCTTAAAAGGTTGAAACTTAATAAAATGCTACCAGACTACAAAAAGAAAAAGCACAAAAAACTAAGAGATTTAGTTACTTAACCGGCACAGTAACTTGATCAAAAAAACTTGTGTTGCCATATTCTCACAGGTATACCACACCTTCAGAGCCATCACTATAAAACCAGAGACAATTATGTTCACAATACTGTTTCTGCATTGCTGCAAACTGACTAAACATACAGCCCACCTTTGTAACAGCACAACTCTCCTTAGAAGTTTGAAAAGTGCACTCACATTTTGCTATGAATTTATGTTTTAGGTATCTACCAAATCAGCCTTATGCCAAGCTTAAAGTGACTGCAATAAAGCAGTGACTTCATTGTTTCATGTAATTTTAGGTACTTCTAAACTTAAAATAGAATGTATGTACCCAAACAGCACAACTCTATAGATATGCAAACACAGAACCTACACTTTCATATTCAATTTACAATAGCCCAGTTACTAAGTATTACTCCAATGAGAAATGTAAACTAAAACGGCATCAGTGTTTAACTATTCCTATACATAATTTTAACATTTTTTTAAAAAACAAAATACTGTAGGTCTACTTGAGAAGACTAAATCTCAATTCTTTATACTTTTGAAAAACCTTAAAAACTGCATAGTTTTTATGCATTACACTTTGTATCTCAAAGAGCCAAAAGGGAAATTTTGGAGGCTTCAGGACTGTTAAGCAACAGTTTCGAAGGAAGCTGTTAAGACATGTAAACATGTCTAAGACATGCAAAGCCTTAACTGTGGGATCATACTAAACTAGAGCTTACAAATTTGATACATACCTAGTAATTTGTCTTCAGGAAGCACATAAGTCAAAATGTCACCCACATATTTTTAAAATTCGATGAAAGTTATAGTGTATTTAGCCCAACAGCTATTTACAGTTGTAATGTTAATTCTCAAAAAGCCTGAGGTAGACTTTAAGTGAGGTCTCATACTAAATCCTGAAGTTTCTATGTATGAAATGAATTTTATGAACTACACAATGCATCTCCTTTGAATCAAGTCCTATAGGTGAACTAGTAGGATTCAATTCAGCTGTAAAAATACACTCTAAACCCACCAAAATTCTGTCCTGAGAATTTGTAAAGTCCTAATACAGTCAGTCACTCAAAGGAAAATTCACTTGATTGTTCTAAGCACCTGACAGGCTACCTGTACAGCTAAACAGGATAGAATCAAGAAGGTTCAGATCAAATGCACACGATTAGTATGCTTAAAATTGTTGACTTTTGCTACCCTGTAGCAAAAAGACTTCAGTTTATTTTAAAGGTACACCTACAGACAGGCCCAACAGGTGGGAAACGACGAGTCAAAACACTAAACAGTTCCCTTTTCATGGGATAGAAGCCACACCAAATATAGGTCATAGGTCAAAGTCCTACACATCACTAACACATGTCTAAAGCTACAAACTGCAAGTCTGATTCCTACTTATGGCAAATACCATCTTCTAGAATGACAGCTTGCCATTTCATTACCCTCAATCGGGTGTAGAAAAATCACATGCAGTATCTAACATCTAGAATTTGGATATGCCATGCACTGGAGGTTCAAAAGTGCATAAGCAATAAAATGAAAAACACCTCAATCTACTCATTGCCAAAGATAACTCCACATACTAACAGCAGACTCCTGGCTGGCAACCATCTGTTTAGGTTACCACACAGTTCTACATTGCCAAGGTATTCCTCAATGTTATATTTACAAGATAGGGGTACTAAAACAGGTCCAGTCACCTACTTTTTTAAAAAGCACACACATGTAAGTCAGGAAAAAGAAATTTCCTTTGTACTACGTCCCACAGGATACATTACCATGTCGCTTCCCATCATGGAACCACTCATGGTTGCTGGTGGAACTCCAGGATTGGCTTCATAACCTATGCCACCACCACCACCTAGAGGTGGAAATTTCTGGCCTCCTGAACCATAGGGATCTAGAAAACAAAAATGATGGTCACAACTCCAACAGAATACTGTTCTCTTATGATACTGTTAATTTAATTTTCACACTTACCTCCCATGTTCATTGCTCCTCCACCACCCATTCTCATGTCTCTCTCTCTCTGAAAGAAAAAAAATTTTTTTATTACCTATGCTCTACAGACACCAACCACTCTTGAGTACAAATAAATTTAAAACCTAAATAAAACTTTATAAGCCTCAAATACCATTTTCTATCGACCGAAGTATTTTTCTTTTTTGGCTGTATGAGGTCTGAACTCAGGGCTTAGTGCAAACACCCTACCACTTGAGCCACACCCACAGCACTTTCTAGTTGTTTCTTTTTTAATGGAGTCTTGCATTTTTGCCTAGACCAGGATCCTATGTCTCCTGCATTGCTGGGATGACAGGTGCACACCACCAAACCCAGCCATTGGTTGAGGAATAAAGTTCTGCTAACTTTTTTGCCTAGGCTGGCCTCAAACCCTGACTCTCCCAAGTAGCTGGGATTATAGACATGTACCACTGTGCCTGGTTAAAGTATTTTAAAAAACAATTTTCTGAAAACTATCTACATTTAATTATCAAAAAAAATCTGTAAAATTTCTCCTGTTCCAATGAAATCCTTCAGCCCTTCCCAGGAGCAGAAAAAATAGAAGCTAGAAACTCATGGCAATCAAACTCTGGGGGGGAAATAACCGTAATAACTACACTTTGAAATTTTATCTTTCAGTCAAATTTCTTCCTAGGTACCTACAAACTCTATAGACAACTCCAATTAGATTAAGTAAAACTTAACTTACTGGATCCATGTAGCCCATTCGGCTATAACTTTCCTCTCTTTGGCGTCTCATTTGTTCTTCCATCTCACGTTGGCGAATCATCATCTCTTCCTCCCTTCTACGTCGTTCCTCCTCTTGCCTAGAAATAGTTATCATGCATATAAACCAAACTGTCATTCATATCTTTTAAAATTTGATTGAAAAAAGCTAGTAGTGGTTTGTCTGAATCTTAGAAAGTAGGGGTTACAGCCTGTAGAGTCTAGGAACTCTAATAGCAACATTCTGGCAAAAAAAAAAAAATAAGCTTTAGTAATGAAAACCTTACACTCAAGCTCAACTTGTTTCCTAAATGTCAGAACATCAATGTGGTAATAAAGGTTCAAAGTAATAATATTTTACCTCAACTGCATTTCTTTACGTTTCTGCATTTCTTGATTGTGAAGTTCTTCCATGCGTCTTAATTCTTCCTGGCGTCTCATCAGATCTGAACATTGCAAATTATTTTATATTTTCGTTAACTGAGGTTCTGGTAAGTTCAAAAGGCAACTAATTCTACCAGTACAACTCAGGTAGTTTTACCTTGGCGCAAAAGGTTTGCCTGATGCTCATGGTAGGCATCTTCCATTTCACTTTCCAATTTGTCTTTTGCATCCTTCATGTTTTTTTCAACCTGTTCCCTTTGTTGTTTTTCCATTTCATCCAAGGACTTCCATCTCTGAGAGTATTCATACTCAAATGTGCCATGCTGAGCAAATCGAGGAGGTGTTTCTCTCTCCCTGACAACACACAGATTTAAAACGTGAACTAATCTGTAAATGCAATACTACCTGATTCCTCTACACACTGGGCTAGGAATGTGGCTCAGTGGCAGAGCACTTGCATAGCATGTACTAACCCCATGTACAACCTGCAGCACCACAAAAGAGAACAAAACAACTTTGGTCCTTTCCCTTGCCTATCTATCACTTGTTAAATTTTGAGTCAGGGTCTCACTATGTAGTCCATAATGGCCTTGAATTTGCTATCCTCCTGCTTTAGCTTCTGAGCACTGAGATGACAGAATGTGCCACCACACCCAGCTTCTAGAGCATCACTTGTAAGGAGTATCAAAAGGTTTTTGTAAAAACCACCTTAGTTCACATAAAAGAGCTCCACAGCAAATTAAATACTCTAAGAATGATACAGTAACTAGCTGGGTGCTGGTGGTTTACACCTGTAATCCTAGCTACTCATGAGGCAGAGATCTAGAGGATCGTGTTTCAAAAGCAACCCAGGCAAATAGTTCCTCTACCTTGAAAAACTCATCACAAATATAGGGCTGGTGGAGTGGCTCAAGGTGAAGGCTCTGAGTTCAAGGTCAGTACCAAAAAACAAAACAAACACACTAACGAATGTATCTTTGAGTGTGGTCCCCAAATGATCTTTGTAAGAAAACAAATCCATGTTCTCAACTTTGCCATACTTTACTCACCCTGTCTCTTCAACCTCATCTTTCTTACTATACCTTTCCATTGCCCTGTACCCTTTGCTTATTTGTTTTCTGTTCTTTATACTTCTATTAACAAACATGTAACCTAAAAAGGGAGTAATTAACCCAAACACTATCAACTTAATAAGGACTGAAAAATCATACTGCAAAATAAATGCTTTTTCAAAATGACAGTGGTAGAATGTAAGTTTTACTGTCCTCATTTCCTAATTGGTTTCCTCTAGCTGAATTTCTTACCCAGGCTTATTTTTTTCATCCACCAAAAAATCTTTCTAGAGCTGTTTACCGGTGGCTCATGACTATAATCTCAGCTACTCTGGAGGCAGAGATCAGGAAGATCCCAGTTCAAAGCTAGCCTAGGCAAATAGTTCAAGAGACCCTATTTCAAAAAAAAAACCCAAAACAAAACAACAAAAAACCCACAAAAAAGGGCTGGTGAAGTGGCTCAAGGTGTAGGCCCTCAGTTCATACCACAGTCTGGGAAAAAAAAAATTTTTTTACCTAAGAAACCAAGCATGGTGGCTCAAACCTGTAATCCTAGCTACTTGGGAGGCTAAAATCCAGAGTCAGTTTTGCCAGTCAGGCAAGAGACCCCATGTCCCCAATAGCTGAGTGGGGTGGTACCCACTAGTCATCCCAGCTAAGGGAGGAGAATCATAGTCCAGTCCAGGCCAGCCTGGGAAATATCTCAAACATTACCAGACCAAAAAGGGCTGGAGGTATGACTCAAGAGGTACAGCACCTACCTAGCAAGAGTATGGCTAATTCAAACTCCAGTGGGGTTGGGGTGGGGAAGCACCACTCACACAATTGTAAGCATCAACACGACCGCATATGAAATGTAGCCATCTCAGAAAATCACTTTAAGATAGTCTCAAACTCTGAGACCGACATTATTAAGCATATTCAAAATAAACTTCAAAGGCATATTCCTGTCAAAGAAATTTTGTGGAGCTGGCAATGTAGCTCAGTGATACAGTGTCTATCTAGCATGAGCAAGGCCCTTTAATCAATTATGGGGGAGGAGGGGGAGAGGAATCTATCTTAAGCAAAACTGGAAAAGTCACTAGAACAAATTCTTTTACGCTTACATTAAAAGCTGCCAAAAAATTTAATCAAGCTTACTTTTGATACATTGGATTCTTCTGTGCAAGTTTTTCAGGGAGACCATCTTCATCATCTAATTGTTCAAGTGGTTCCACAATGACTGGACGAGGAGTTCTAATAACAAAAATGGTTCCACCTTAACTTTATTCCAGTTTTATTGCAACATCACAAGTTAATAAATAAATTAGAATTAGCCCAAGACAACTTACGTTGTCAGTAGGAAAACACCTTCACTGCAGCGTTCAAATGCTTTCCTTGCTGCTGGCTTAGAAGCAAATTCAACAATGCCTTTTCCTGTAGATCTCCCGCGATCATCCACAATTACAACAGCCCTTTCAATAGGACCAAATTGGCTAAAGGCTTCTTCCAACAGTTCATTGGAAACATAAGGTGAAAGATTACGAACAGAAAGGGCAGCAGCATGTGTGGCAAATCGAACCCGAAGCTGTCTACCTCTCATGGGTGTATCATCAAGTTCAGCTTTGGCAATTTCAGCCAAGGCTCTGGATTCCTGTAAATATCGGAGACACTCAATTACCAACTTCAAAATTGCCTAATGCTTACTGTCAATTTTCGTAAACATTCTCCTGTTTTCTTCAGCTCAGTTCAAGCAGTTCAGGAAGCCCCCCTTGACACCACTAAAGCAGTTTAATGCCTTGCCTGACATCCACCCCTAAGAAAGACACTATCCAGCAGGTGTATCTTTATGTAATAAAACTGAAAACTGTGAAGACTAACTTATTCTCCCGGGTTTAAAAAACAATCCTTCATCTGTTGCAAAATACAAAGAACGAAATCCTCACCGTTCGACACTATACCAAAATCCAACAATTGGGCTCAAGTGGTAGTAGAGCACTTGCCCCATGTTCAAGCCCCAGTATTGAGGGAAAAAACCAATTACACTCACAAGTTTAATAAATCCGAACCCTTTGCCTTTATTGATAAAAACTTCTCCTGGTTCTCCGTATTTAGCAAATAGTCTTTTGAATTCATCCTCTGTGATATCAGCAGGTAGATTCCCAACAAACAATCGACAGCGCTGTGTGTAGGTTTTCTCTCCAGGCCTCCTCAGGAGAGATAAGTTTGCTTTAAACCCCTAATGAAGAAGGAAGGGAATTTTCACACATCAGCGAGAAGTACAGAAACCCCAAGCTTATCTTTTGCCTTTCTCGATTGCTTTTCGGTTCCATTTAAAGGCAATCAGGCTCACCCCTTGGCGGGATTTCCAACACGACCACTAGTCCTAACGTCCGTCATCACCCGGAACGCTCTGACGGACACACGGCACACCTCCGGAACCCCAAGCACCAAGCAACACGTCCACGGCGGACGGGAGTGGAGACCGGACCCGCGGGCCTCCCGCCACCTCCGCGGTTCGTACGCCGCAGCTCCCGGGCCGCCCCGCCCCCGAGCGCGCGCAGGCGCTCTTCCGGCCGCCGACAAAATGGAGGCCCGCGCGGCGGCCTGGGGAAGGGGGCGCCGCCATCTTAGGGGAACGGACGCGTCGCTCCTGGAGACACTCACCTCCGAGTCCGAGATCTTCTCCTCGCTGCGGCCGCCGGGCCCGCCGGGCGGAGGTCCCTGGTGGTGCTGCGGGTGGTAGGGTGGGTGGTGCTGGCGGCCCCCGCGGGGCTCCCCGCCGCCTCGGTGGGGCGGCTTCGGGTGGCCGCCGGCCGCGCTCAGGCCCGGGCCGCCACCGGGCTTCGGCCCACCGGGCATCTTCCCGCCTTTCGGGCCGCCGGGGCCGGGACCCTGCTTAGGCCCCGGACCTGGGCCCCCCGCGGGCGGAGGCGGCGGGCCCCCAGCCTGGGGCGGGGTGGTCGGGACCCCGCTGCTCGGCGGCGCGGGCGGAGGCGCCCCGGGAGGGGCCGAGGTGACGGCGGGCGGCGGGGTCGGGGTGGGTCCTGGGCCCGGAGGAGCACCGGAGGTCGGAGGAGTGGCGGGAGGAGCCGAGCCCGAGGCCGGCGGGGCGCTGCCTACTCCGGGAGTGGGGCCGGGCCCCTGGGGCACCACCGGTTTGGACGAGTCTTGCGGCGGCGGCGGCGGCTGCTGATGGGGCGGTTGGTGCGGCGGCGGCTGCTGGTGCGGCGGGGGCTGCTGCGGCGGAGGCTGCTGCTGAGGCGGAGGCTGCTGCTGCTGTTGGTGCGGAGGCGGCGGCGGGATCGGGGGTTTGGGACCGCCTGGGCCCGGGCCCATGGGCCCGCGGTTCTGATTGAGGCCCATGCCGGGCGGTGGAGAGCGGAAGTCGTGGAGGCCGCCGCGACCACCTCCTCCTCCGCGCCGGTGGAAGCCGCCACCACCACCGCCGCGACTCCGGAACCGATCCCGAGACATGTCTGTGGTCAAGGGGCGGTCGAGGCAGAAGCGAAGAAGACGCTCAGGGAACGTGGAGGCCACCTTGCTTCGCACAAAATGGCGGATGACACAGGCGGCGGGCCGCCTTTGTCCTCTCTTTATATAGGCCAGCTTGGCACGGCCCCGCCTATCCCTGGATCGACAACTCCAGTAGCCAATTGGAAGTACAGTACTTGATGCCATAAAGTTACGGACCGTAAATCTTTCCTATTGGCTCCCGGATGAGAGGCGGGAGGAAGGGAGGAGTTGAAGTTTCCATTTGGCCAATGAGCGGAGAAGAAGTTCCTGCGGGCCATCGTGATTTGCTGGGAGAAATTTGAATGGGCATGCCAAGGCTTTTTTCCTGTGGAAGCAAATAACCAGGGCCCTATCAGCTCGTAGGGAGAGGGGTTGGAGGCTCTTTTCTTAATTGCTTCTAAGATCAATCTGCTATTCTTGCCCAGAAAAACAGATGTTCTCTGGTTCAGTTATAAATTGAACGTCTCCATTCTATCCTACTTCGTGCTAGGTCAATGAAGTTAGAGAAAATCTCACCGATTTCAAAAACATGCATTCTTAACCGATTTTATTTTGAAACCCCTTAGGAACACAGGTTTGTTGTAGCTGTATAAAATCAGTTTTAGGCTTGAGTGGGTTCACTCTTTATTGGAAAAGAAAAAAGTCTTTGTGTGCACATATGTGCGTGTATATATACATTAATAATTTACAAACACAAATCACAGGAAGAATATTTTTTCTTTTTTCTTTTTTTTTGGCAGTACTTGGGTTTGAACTCACTCTTTGCTTGCTAGGCAGGCACTCTTACTGCTTGAGCCACTCCACCAGCCCTATATATTTTTTTTTTATTATTTTATTACTCATATGTGCATACAAGGCTTGGGTCATTTCTCCCCCCTGTATTTTTTTCTTAATTTTATCCCTGCTTAACACTTCCTGAACAGATTAAGATATTTTAAAAATTACAATATTAAAATATCTATATCAAACCAACCAGTGGGCAGCAACATCTTTCTTCAAAATCCCTGATGTTGTCCCCCATATCTTGGAACCCGTGGCCTCATACATGTTAGGAAAATGCTTTGTCACTGAGCCACATCCCCAACCCCTCTAGCTTCTTTGACATCTGCTAACCCTATCCTTTAACACACCTACTAAATACTGTTACATCTGATCTTTTTGGTAAACCATTACTCTCTCATTATTAGCTGCTTTCCACATCTGCTTCTGTTCATCCATCATTCAACATCCACATCCGTGGGATGGACCCTCTGTGGAAGTCAGGTTGTACCCTGCTCCAAACTTACTCAATATTGCATAGAACAACAGCTTTCAGACTGTGCCTTGCCCTGAGTGACCTCATTTTATACAACAATTCCCTCCATTTTGAGTGTAAATGCTGAGGCAGAATGACTACATCTTTTTTGTGCAAATAACCACCATCTGTCTAGCATAAACTACGAGGCCAACTGATAATTTATTGACACAAATAAAAGATTGCCACCTATGAATTTATCAAACAAAATCAGGAACACATGGACACATGGGCATATCAAGCCCTCATTAGAAAACCAAGGCCCATGAACTCATCCAACACACCAGATCAAAGAATGATGCAACCCCCTCACCTGGATTGTGTAAAAGAAGGGATACCTTACATGGGTACAGCAGCACCCACCGACTGGTCATCAGACCATCCAGTCATGAGTCATGGATTGATAGGAAATGAATTCCCACCTCTGTCCCAAGGTTGCAGATCAGCATGATCCCTATATTTGATATGACCCACTTGAATCACTGTCATCCTGACTCAGAAGCAGCCTTCAGCCTTGAATCCACACTGATTGTGACACCACTGAGCCTCAACAACACTGTAACCTATATAATATTGTGAAGTGTGATGTGTGATCTGAGTTAATGTTAGTAATTAAGATTGGAATAAAAAGAACTTGTTTGCCAATGGCTCACAGCTACCAAGTGACATCAGTAGTACTTGGTGAATTAATGCCAATGAAGTGAATATAACTTGTGAATTTATTGCTATTCAATAAATTTTGACATGTGGAAAGATACAGGCATGTCTGTCCATGTTTCTGACATAACTCGATCATAATACCCGCCTACCACACTGTTAGTTCTTGACCCCACCTGTAACAATCTTTCCTTCTGTCCCATTTTAGTTTCCCATACCTCCATCCTCCCTGACATGTGGTCACCACTTCCTTTCCTATTGCCAGTAACTACACCATCTCAAATCTCTAGTTCAAGCATCCCTCAATGATCACTTCTTTTTCTTCTCACCACAGTAACCCCATGATATTTTGAGCTCATCAACCACCTCCCAAATGGTTAAATGTATTACTTTTTCTCTATTCCCCCTCCCTTTTTTTTTTTTTTTTTTTTGAGACAGGGTCTTACTATGTAGCCCAGGCTGGCCTTGAACTCAAGATCATTCTGCCTTGGCCTCCCAAGGGCTCGGATTACAGGATTGTGGCACCAAGCCTGGTTTATTACTCACATTTTTTTCTAAGTTTTTTGGCTGCACTGGGGTTTGAACTCATGGCCTTGCACTTGCTGGGAAGGCGCTCTACCTCTTGAGCCATTCTACCAGCCCTATTTCTCACCTTTCTAAAATATTTAGTCTCATCCAATTTAAATGTTATGATCACCTACAAACACATAAAATCCTTGTTTTTCTCTTTATTACACTAGCCTGGTAAAACATGACTCTAGTTGAATCCAATGATTTACCACCTTTAATGGGGCCTGAAGCCTTCATATTATTTTGGGCTTTTTGTTTTGGGGCGGGGTTTTTTGGCTAGGGGGCAGGGGAGGGAGAAGGCAGGACAATGTAGCCCAGGCTGACATTGAACTCACAATCCTCCTGCCTCAGCCTCCCTAACATTCTCTCTACATTTCAGCTGGGCTGGTTTTGTTTTTGTTGCTGTTGTTGGTTTTGGCAGTGCTGGGGTTGAACTCAGAGTCTCACGCTTGCTAGGCAGGGTCTATGTTATTTGAGCCATGCCCCGCCCCACCCCCCCAGACCTTTTTTGCTTTAGTTATTTTTCAGGTAGGCCCTTACATTTTTGAAGACCTGTCTTAGACTGTGATCCTCCCTTACCTAAGATTTCCCTGGTAGCTGGAGTCACAGATGTTAGCCACCAACACTAGGCTTATTTTTTGAGATGAGGTCTCACTAACTTTTTGCCTGAGCTGGCCTTGAACATCAATCCTCCTGACATCTGCCTCCCAAGTTGCTGGAATTATAGGTATAAGCCACTGTGCTCAGCCTTAGAGTGATCTTTTTAAAAAATAATTTACAGCTCAGCTTTAGTGACTTATGCCTGTAATCCTAGCTACTCAGGAGGCAGAATTCAGGAGGATTGTGGTTCGAAGCCAGCCCCAACAAATAGTATGCGAGACCCTATATCAAAAATACCCAACACAAAACAGGGCTGGAGGAGTGGCTCAAGTGGTAGAGCACCTGCCTAGAAAGTGGGAGGCCCTGAGTTCAAACCCCAGTACTGCTAGACAATAACAATAATAATGTAGAAGGGTTGGGGAACACAGCTCAGCGTTGGTGAACATGCTGAACATGCTCGAGGCCCTGGATTTGATCACCAGCTTTAAAACATAAATAAAATGACATCATTTGCTTCCCATACTTGGGGTTTCTCATTGTCCTTAGAATAAAAGTCCAGGGCCAGTTGGGACTGATGGCACATGCTTGTAATCCCCACTACTCAAGAGGCAGTGTAGGAGGATCTAGGTCCAAGGCCAGCCCAGGCAAAGCACAAGACCCTGCCTGAAAAATAAATAGATCTGTAGTTCCCTACCTCCTAAACCCTTATCTGTTCTTAAGATTTATCAAGTGGTGGGATGAGGGTGTGACTCAAGTGTTAGAGTGCCTGCCTTGTCTAGCAACTTGAGGCCCTGAGTGTTCAAATCCTAGTACCACCAAAAAAGAAAAGAAAAAGTATGTCTACACTGCATGACTCAGTATTATTTCTGTGGGATTTCACATCACTTAAAATCCCATAATTTGTGAGGAAAAAAAAAACTTATCAAGTGACTTCTTCACCTTCCTGCTTTTGTGTGTTGAGTGCTGAGGAGCAGGCCCAGGGATTCCTGAACCTATGCTCTACCATGGAGCTATATGCCCAGCCCTATCTGCAGGTGTTTGCCTTTGGGTTATTTGAACTTGCAGTCTTCTCAGCCCCAGGGACTTATTTCCCTGCTCACAGTTATCTCCTCTTCTTCCTTCTGTATCAGCTTGACAGTCACCTTAAAGGAGTTGTTTCTGCCAATAATCACATCTAAAATAGGCCTCCCCTGTGTCACCCCATCTTGCGTATGATGAAATATACATGATAACTCTCTCCATAACTTTTTTCTAATTTTGAGACAGGTCTAGCTATGTTTTTGCACCTGTCTGTTGTCTGTCTCCCAGTTAGCTTAGGATTTATCTGAGGTCTTTCTTTTGGCAGTGCTGAGGTTTGAACTTAAGACCTAGTGCTTGCTAGGCCATGTGCTCTACCACTTGAGTCATGTCCCCAGTCCTTGTCTGAGTTCTTTAAGGATATAACACTGGCACCTAATACAGACACTAGCATTGAGATACTTAATATTTGTTGAATGACTAAATAAAAGCATGATGGTGAAGAGTGGGCTCTGTGTCTCCAGGGCGTTGTCCCAAGATCCTTCACTTTTCTGACACTCTTCCTAAGGGTACACCCTCTTTGGGGGAAGTCCTGGGGATTGTGTAAAGTATTCAGTATTTTATAAGTACTCAATAAATACTACTTAATATTATTTATTTTAGAAAGTCACAAATGTCTAAAGGCACCTTAGTGTTACAGCCCAGAGGACAAATGGGCTAGTAATAGTTGAGTTAGTATGTTTTAGGAAGTTTATAGTACATTTAATTTTTTTATCATCCATTTTTTGTAGTACATTTTAGAAGAAAGTCTATCCTTGAATTTGACAGTAAGTTAAAAGAATGATCCACTGTGAGTAGATAGGGCTCTTCTTAAGAAGACTAGGATGTCTTATTAGTAAAGTTACTAAGATTTTGGAAGGGGCTGGAGTATAAC